TCTAACGGATCTGAATGACATAGTCTACATTGTTTGGTTCTTTGTCTCGAATAATTAAATGGATATAGACTTGAGTAAATTAAAATCTATGACATATGACCTCAAGAAAATACAAACAGATGACATTCTCACGGAGTAGTATCATCTTAAATGCTTTGCACACTAGCACATTTATTTATTCCAACAACTCTCTGAGTAGAACCCGCCTCACTTTGGAAGTGAGTAAGGAAGACTCAGACAGGGGGTGGGAGTTGACAGAGGATGTGCAGGATGGCACGACCCACATTCAAAACCAGGCAGTCCGATTTACAAGTTCATGCTTTCAATTCCCCCAAACTGACTCAGCAATTTTTGGTTATCTCGTGTGACTATGCTTCAACTAAAACAAATGATTCAATTAAGATTGAAGACAATACGTGTACAGCTGAGATATTAGGTACCTGAGCATCGGTCTTGGTGGAGGTGGTGGTTCCTCGGGGTCCTGACACCTCTTGGTTTTCTTAGTGACTTGTTTATAGATGTTGCGAGCTGTCACTCCCACCCACAGCACTGTGGCAAGGGTGGAATAATGAAGGATTATCCCAACCTGCAAGGAAGATCAGAGAATATGTAAACTAAAAGACTGTCCCCACTGAGGTTTCTCAAAAAGATGGGTAGGTAACTTTTAAAAGTCTGATTCAAGGATGACCTGAGTTCAGGAGTTCCAGATCAGCCTGAGCAAGAGCAAGACCTGTTTCTACTAGAAACAGAAAAACTAGCCAGGCATTTGGTGCCTGTAGTTCTAGTTACTTGGACGAGAGGATTATTTGTGCCCAGGAGTTTGAGGCTGCTGTGAGCTATGATGCCACAGCACTCTACCCTGGGCAACAGAGCCTGTCTCAAAACAAACAAAAAACAAAGCAGTACAGAGGACCAACTACTCAGCCAGCTAATGAAACCCAGCACTGTGGCGAGGCATCCAGATTCCATTCCTCCAGTACACAAACCAACAGCTGGCTCCAGGAAAGCCATAGACCACCACTTACACCCAAGATGACCCTTAATACAGCAAGACCTGGTTTCCGAACACCATCAAACCCGAGGAGCATTTCTCACAGATGAAACGCTACAGAGCCCCATTTTAAGGTGGCACAGAGAGGACAAGGGAAGCAGCAGAGGGAAGCAGACGGCAAGTAGGTTCCGGAGCAAGAGACCCGAGTTCTGAGTCCGAGCCGCCACGTTCTACAGCAGCACAAGAGCAGTTGAATACGTTGACAGCTAAAAGGTGTGTGTGAACTCAAGGATCAAATGTTGCTTGGTTTTAAGACTGGTCTCCATCTCTCGCCGGTGGTGAACAAAGTCACATAACAGACTAAGTGCTGGTTTCCTCACTGGAGAACCAAGAACAATTCACAACGTGAAGATGTCTACATAAGCAATTAGCAGAGGTATCTATATTATTGTTGGGTGTTACTTCTTATTAGGACTATGGCCTTGAGGAAATAATGGGACCTCCCTGAGACTCACTTTCCTCAATTTAATAATGGGAGGATTATCAAGGGTCACCTCTAGGGGAGTTGTAGGGATTGCCTGAGCACAACAGCTGGGACGTAATAGGTGCTCAATAAATGACTGTGATCTGTAATTTACAAATGATAATATCAACTAAGCTTCTTTTCACATGGATGACAGTGGCATGCTCATCATCTGACCTATGTTTGATTCAACTCTAGGTGAGGATCTTCTTCTAGAAGAAGACAGGAGAGGGGAAAGAAAGGTTTAAAATTTATTTTAGGGGTGGCGCCTGTAGCTCAAGCCACTAAGGCACCAGCCGCATACACCAGAGCTAGTGTGTTCGAATCTGGCCCAGGCCTGCCAAACAATGACAACTGCGAGCAAAAAATAGCCGGGCGTTGTGGGAGGCGCCTGTAGTCCCAGTACTCTGGAGGCTGAGGCAAGAGAATCGCTTACACCCAGGAGTTGGAGGTTGCTGTGAGCTGTGACGCCACTGCACTCTACCCAAGGTGATAGCTTGAGGCTCTGTCTCAAAAAAGTAAATAAATAAAATAAAACTTCTTTTAGGAGAAATAAATGCCATCTGTCACTGGAGCACCAAGGACATAATCCAGCTCACTGAGCTTATTATATACTCTTTGATAATTTCTTTTTATATTATAATTACAAGACTAATTTTCTCTCTTTTTTTTTTTTTTTTTTTTGAGACATAGTCTCACTCTGTTGCCCAGGCTCAAGTGCTATAGGATCATAGCTCACAGCAATCTCAAACTCTTGGGCTTAAGTGATTCTCTTGCCTCAGTCTCCCGAGTAGCTGGGACTACAGGCACCTACCACGATGTCTGGATAAATTTTCTATTTTTTGTAGAGATGGGGTCTCACTCTTGCTCAGCCTGGTCTTGAACTTCCGAGCTCAAGCAATCCACCTGCCTCAACCTCTCAGAGTGCTGGAATTAGGGGCATAAGCCGCTGTACCCGGCCCCAGAGTTTATTTCAATAAAAACCAATCTGTAGCTAAAACTTGGTGACTTGAAAGTCTAGGCTTTTTTTACAGGGGAAAAACTGGCTCAGTCACTGTTCACGTAAACCCAGCAATGACCCCAGAGGTGCTGGGAGGGTGGGTGCAGCTTGGTCGAATTAGAAAATTCAGAAGTTTTCTTCTTCTTAAAGAGAAAAGTGGCTTCTTGGTCCTCATTAGTTTTGCTGACGGCACTGTGAAAGCAGAATTTATAGATAGAAGTGGAACAAAAAGCATAAAATAACCCTTCATGCTATCTGAAGTCAAACCAAAGACTGTAAGTAAAAATAGTCTAAGTGAATTTGGTGCATAGAAACCAATAAATTCAAGACAAATCACTGAATACTGACTCAGAAGGGTTAACTCTCCTACTGCTGGAGCTGTCTCTATCCAAAGGTCCGGAGAATGAAACACAGCTTTAAATTACGTAAGTTAAAAATATAGGTTAAAAGTATTTTCAACACAGGTGGTGTTAGATTGAGGGAGGGAATCCCCCATGTTTAAGGCTTGAAGTATTTTCTGTGGCATTTCTAAATTCCAGAGAAGGGTTCATTCACTGAAGCCTTCCAGTTAAATGATTTTCTTAACAATAGTGGAATTGAATTTCAAGGTGGTACCTGTGGCTCAAAGGAGTAGGAGGTGGTGGGTTCAAACCCAGCCCCAGCCAAAATTTGCAAAAAAAAAAAAATAGTGGAATAGTGGAATTTCAGAAGTCTGATGACATCTGGTAATGCAGTCACACAAGCAAATCACTAAATATTCTTAAAAAAAAAATAGCTGTGTACATTAATATAGTCATGAGGTACAGTGTGTTGTTTTATATACAATTTGTAATGTTTTGTATACAATTTGAAATATTTTCATCAAACTGGTTAACACAGCCTTCATGTCATTTTCTTAGTTATTGTGTTAAGACATTTATATTAAAAAAAAAATCTAAAACCAATTGATTGAATTTTTTTTCTTATGAGGATATGTATTAAATCATCTACAAATGTAAAAAAAATTAAAAAGGGAGGGATTAAAATCTAGTCGAAAAGGTTTTCCTAATTTTTGAAATATAATATTTCCTATTCTCCATCTGACCCTTGGTCTACATGACATACAACCTTACTATCACGTCTTCTCCCAAATAAATGATAGATACATATGAAAATTTAGTAAATACAGTAGACTTTCTGTGAGTTGACCCCCAAGGTACTGTTAACAAACTGGTCATCATGCAGAGGTGGTCAACGTAAGGAACGAGGCCTACTGTACTGATACGTACACGTGGTGAGTGTCCAGTCTATAAAAATTAGGTCGACTTAAGGAGGTGGTCAGTGCAGTGTCCAGTCT